ATAAAGCTATCAATAGCTAATAACCCAGTGGTGAAGTTCTGCCTCCAGGGTCTGAGCTGGTATGCTTCTGAGTACCATTTGCTAGAACCAGAGTGTGCTTGCGGTTAGGTGCTGCTCGCATGCTTCCTATAGGCATCTGGTTGGACACCATGAGAACAGACTGCTGGACTAGACGTGCTACTGGCCTGATCCAGCAGGCTCTTCTTACATTCTGTGTTCTTCTTATTGTTAAGAGCACTTAGTTCAAGGAGAAACAACCTGTTTACCACAACTGGCATACAGGGAATGTGTCAGCTGAAGGTTGCTTTGCACCTGGTGTTGCAATCGTGCTTGCCACAGCTACTCAGGTCTTTGCAAAAATAAACAGATAAGAGCGAGGTAGAGATATGAATCTCCATAACAAACACCGGGCATGCATCAGTGCATCAGAGTCAATCATGGTTCATTGACACGCGCACTTCTTGCATATTCCCAAATATTTGGAGATGTTCGTTTCTCTTTCACTGATGTAGCTGCACCAAACAAGATGGCTGTTAAGTGGCTGTGTACAGTTTCATACAGGGGAGTGTTGCTGTGGGAGGAGGTACTTAATCCTTTCATTTGCACCATTTTCCTGATCTATATCACCCTCCTCCCAAAGCTGCTTTGGTGCCTATATGCTTTTCCCTGTGTGACAATTAGTAGCTTCAAGCAGGCATGGCCAAACTTGGCCCTCCAGCTGTTTTGGGACTACAATTCCCATCATCCCTAGCTAACAGGACCAGTGGTCAGGGATGATGGGAATTGTAGTCCTAAAACAGCTGGAGGGCCAAGTTTGGCCATGCCTGGCTTCATGGAAGGCAAGGGGGGATATTTAGATTGGGAAAATCGTGTGTATGAAGAGCTAAGGACCTCATCCTCCAATGCTATTCCCCAGCTCTGCTTCCTCAATGTCTGCTTTAAGCCCCCCCCCAATATCTCAGATCTCCAAGCATTTCGTTTACTTTGGACTTGAGTGTGCAAGCTCCTAAGAACTTCTTGCCTCTAATGTATTTTTTGGAATAAACTTGCAAACTTGGAAAGTGATGTGGCAAACAGCCATGATAATTTAAAGGATTATACCTAGAAGTGTTTCATTTGAATGAAGCAAAGGGCACGTGTCTTTCTCTACCCATACTGAAAGATGCACACAAGTTGTTGTTTTTTAAAAAAAAGAGTGATCTTCTGGATCAAATGTGAGTTGTAGTCAAAAGGAAGATCCTGAACAAAGACAATGTTTTCTTGGCCTCCCTCCACAGCAAATGGTTTATAACCCCCAGGTCGAGCCAGTGTGAGATAGTAGCAGTCAGCGTCTTAGTCTTAGAATAGGAAAACCTGGATTCCAGTTGCTACTCAGCCATGAATCGTCTCCTAGCCTAGCTTCCCAACTTGCCGATAAAACTAGAAACCCTACATACAGTGTTCTGAACATCTTGGGGGAAAGGTAGAATAGAAATGAAATAGGATGTAGATTAAACAAATACCATATATTTCACTCTGTAAGACGCACCAGACCACAAGACACACCTAGTTTTTGGAGGAGGAAAACACGAAAAAAAATATTCTGAATCTCAGAAGCCAGAACAGCAAGAGGGATTGCTGTGCAGTGAAAGCAGCGATCCCTCTTGCTGTTCTGGCTTCTGTGATAGCTGCGCAGCTTGCATTCGCTCCATAAGACGCACACACATTTCCCCTTACTTTTTAGGAGGGAAAAAGTGAGTCTTATAGAGCAAAAAATACGGTAAATATATTTGGATATATTTCAAGCATCATTTACACGCTAGAATGAGGATCAAGGGTGCCCCACTGGAAAATGACATATGACTATTCAGCTAAAGCAATCCAGGCATACTATTGTACCCGTCAACCTTAGATCATTGTCTGACTCTGGAAAATAAACGCTCACTACTTTTTTACAGCCTTCCAACAGCTAATCTATAAGCGGATTTTTTTTTTTTTTAAGGAAAAAGAAAAACCTGTGACTGATCGTAAATGTCTGCCATCAAGAATATAAACATGTCCATCCTTATCAGTGTATTTTAAGAGGCATTGGAAGGCGGGGGGCGCTTGAGTTTCATTCCTGGCTTCTAGGAATGCAACAGTCTCAAGTAATATAATTAGCAGTCGTCCTTGCCTCTGATAGTTCTCAGCCTTAGAGGGAAAAAACGAAGGAAAGAAGAAATATATAGACACTGATGGTTGTTTTCTTTTGATAAAAACCTCCCATGTTTTATAAGTATGTCACACCAGGTTCAAAGGCACAGATTACATGCGCAATTGCATATCTTCCTACGTGTGAAGTGCAGAGTGGAAAGCAAGGAGCCAGGCTTGCTAGGAGAAGTGGTAAACGGGTGTTTTCAGAGGCTGGGCAGATATTCCCGGAAACTGTTGACATCAACAGCTAGTTAAAGTGAGCTGTGAACAGAACAGCTTTTACCCAGGGGTGGAATTCCAACTCAAGAGGATGGTAGGCCCCTACCTCTGACACATGGCAACCAAGACATTCTGTCCAATTCCGGCTGTTCGTGACCTGTCATTCAATATTTAGTAGGCAGGCCAAGACCCTTGGGGTCCCTTCCAACTCTACAATTCTTTGATAGGACATAAACTCTGAGGTTTTTCCAGAGCCTGCTGTGCTCTATTTATTGGGGATGTCTAAATAATATTTTGGACAAAACAACTGAAACGGAGTTTTCTAAATATTTCAATAACCGAAAACAAGTCAAAGGTTATATTTACTAATGCCTCAAGATAATACCTAAGAATGGTGGGTCTGTCTTTTAAGATAAGTAGGAAGGCCAGACTCTCCCCCTTGGGCGTTCCATTCACTCTACCTCTGGCTTAAATCAAGCATTTCATAGAATGCTGCCTAGTCAGGTGGGATGAAACACCAACATTGGATAAAAGGCCACCTAATAATGACAGTTGGGATGCGGGTGGCGCTGTGGGTTAAACCACAGAGCCTAGGACTTGCCGATCGGAAGGTCGGCGGTTCGAATCCCTGCGACTGGGTGAGCTCCCGTTGCTCGGTCCCAGCTCCTGCCAACCTAGCAGTTCAAAAACACGTCAAAGTGCAAGTAGATAAATAGGTACCGCTCTGGTGGGAAGGCAAACGACATTTCCGTGCGCTGCTCTGGTTCGCCAGCAGCAGCTTAGTCATGCTGGCCACATGACCCGGAAGCTGTACGCCAGCTCCCTCGGCCAATAAGGCGAGATGAGTGCCGCAACCCCAGAGTCGGCCGTGACTGGACCTAATGGTCAGGGGCCCCTTTACCTTTTTAATAATGACAGTCAATATATAGTAACGTTTTCTGTGCTTCATCTTTGATTCTGCTAACTTAACGGCAACATCAAATTGTGCTTCGTGAATGTATAAATGCCTATTACGGACGATGACTCAGGTCCCTGAATTTTTCAATTTCATTCTTGGGATGGCAGTGGAACCTGGACGGAGAGGTGTTTGATTGCTAACTGTCTTCAGGGGCAGGGGACAGGAGTGATGAAATGTAGGGAAAGTTGGAAGGAATCCCTCTTGTTTGGCTAGAATGTGTCCCTGAACTGTGGTATCTCCTCGCCGTCCCCACCAAAACTTATTGATTCTGCCTTGCTGAAATGTCACATTGATGAGGCTGAACGCTGTTTGTTGAGGGGGTGCGAGTGATTGAAGTGCAGGAAAAGTGTGGTGGGTGAATGACAGGGTGGCTGCAGAAAGATATGGAAAGCAGCTACCTTAGGAAACCATGGGTGATAGAGACAAGAGCTCAGAAAAGAGTAAGCCAAGGAGAAAGCAGGGTTGCGACAACAGGACATGAAGGTCAAAAGCAGACAGGGAGGCAAGACAAGATGAGGAGTGGGGGTGGTGGAGCCTGGATTTCCCCAATGTCGGTGGACTACAACTCCCATCAGCCCCATCTAGGAATGATGGCATTTGTTGTCCAACAGCATCTGAGATTGGGACCCGAGGTTGAAGAAGCCTGGGTTAGGGAGCCAAGGCAGCACGTGGTTACTGAGTTTTTGAGGGGGGATTCTTGTCTGTTTCCCCACTGTAACTGCATTATTGTGATTTGGGCACATTAAAAATGGAGTGGTGATGACGAGGGCTCAAAAAAAATGTAGCAGGCTCTGTTGGTCACCAGCTCTCGAAAGCCAATGGGATGAGTGTATTGAGTTACTTTAAACACCACTTTTTTCAGAGTAATTTACATATATATGTAAATATATGTATACGCACCACCATTTGGGGAGGGGAGAACTGATCCTCCTCAAAAAGCCTGAGCTCACTAGCTAGGATCCCACCGATATACAGGGTCTCCCCCACCAACCTTCTTGATCTATCAAAATGACAAGCATTTTACTGCTCTGTTGGTTAGAGTATGCCAAGGTTGCAGTTCAGTCCCCAAGTGAGACAGCTGCATATTCCTGGGTTGGAATAGATGATCCTTAGGGTCCCTTCCAACTCTAGAATTCTATGATTCTATGACTTGGAGTTAACTGTACTTTGATCCTGTTGAAATCAACGAGGCTTCAGCCACAACAACCAACTTTTCACATTGATTTCAATGACATCCAAGTCCAGCTATCCTCATAACATGAGATCTTCTTTCCCAGTCTTACAGCAATTCCACCCCCACTTTCACAGGTCCATTGGAAACTGTCACAATCTTTCATGGCACTTCAAAAGGGAGTGGGAGCAAAAAAAATTAAATAAGCATCCGGTCCTCAGTTGGCGAAAAATTTGGAAGAGTGAAAGCATTAGCACACAACTGCCGACCCTAATTTTAGAAATGGAGTTATAAGCCACACGCTTAGAAGGAATGTTGAAAATCATTAAGATTCAAAAGCTCGTCTCATCCTTGTTGTGAGATTAAAAGACCTGCTTTACATTTCAAACTACATCAGATTTATGTTAATGTAATTGCCAAGTCCTCCCCACCACAAAGAATCCTGTGATTTATAGCTTGCCTCTTTTTTAGAGCTCCCCCACCCAATTCCATTGTTCTAGCTCGGTCAGGAGAGCATGAGACTCTTAATCTCAGGGTTGTGGGTCTGAGCCCCACATTGGGCGGCAGAGTCAAGCATCGTAGGGGGTTGGACTAGAGGACCCTAGTGATGCCATCTGCAGATCTATGATTCTATGATTTCTACAGCTGATGGTAGAAATGGTTTTCAAATTGACTTTAAGCCTATAGGGCAGATATGGCAACACATGAGCTTTAAGTAGCTTTGAGCAGGCATCTAGTAGGAAGGTTCTTTATGCGCCTGCCAAGGACTATGTTTGCAATGGATTTAAGCATTTCTTGCAACTTATTTTCGCAATCCAGCTCTGTGGATCTCTATCGTAGAGGCGGACATTCAAAACATGTCCAGGTTGCAATCCTATCTACATCTACCATCAACTGGTTCAACTGGCAGCAGCCAGGTTGGTGGCTGGGATTCCATTTAGAACTCATATATCCTTGTTTTGAAATAGCTTCACTGGTTGCCACTTTTTTTCTGGGCCCAATTCAAGGTGCACAGCGTCTGAAGCCCTAAATGGCCTAGACATCTGAAGGCAGCCCTGTCTAGGGAAGCTTTTAATGTTTGATGTATTACGGTATTTTAATATTTTGTTGGAAGCCACCCAGAGTGGCTGGAGAAGCCCAGCCAGATGGGGGGGGGTAGAAATAATAAATTATTATTATTATTATTAGGGCGAGCTGCCCACAGGGGCAGGGCGAGCCACTGCTGTGTGTCCCAGGGGAGCACCGCAGCGAGCATCCCAGGGGCACGGCGTCTGTGGCAAGGGTCCCAGAGGGGCAGGATGGCAATGTCACCCCCCCAGGGATGACACCCAGGGTGGACCGCACCCCCTTCCTTTGCCAGTGTCTCCTGGTACTTCCACTGACCTCAGAAATTTGTGGCGGTTGCAGCCTGGGAAAGGGCATTCTTTGTGGCAGCTCCTAGATTATGGAATTCCCTCCCCACAGAGCTGAGTCGGGCACCTTCTTCATATAGTTTCTAACATACGTTGAAGAAACACCTTTGACACCTGAGATAGGTGTTTTCAGGACTCGCCCTATTCCTGAGACTGTAATTTGTTTTAAACTGTTTTTAACATGGAATTTTAAATGGCTGCAACCTGTTCTGGGTTCTGTAACCTGCAGAAGGGTGGGGAATATATAATAATTATACCACCTATCGAGTAAGGTCCGCTGAACTCAGACTGAACACTTCTAAGCAAGCATGTCATTTAAAAGTAAGTTTAGAACAGGGGTGAGGAACCAGCATATCATGATTTGAGTTTCGGGGAGAAAACCATTTCAATTACATTACAATTGTATAATCCTAGCAAAATATTATTGGGGGTGGGCAGCTGAATCCACTCTCATCACCAGGCATAAAGCACTGCTATCAGATCATTTGTTCCATTTAACTTGCATTTGTTTGGCTGAAGATGAGCAGCTGAAATGCACCCTATAACATTCAGCAGACGCTCCCTCCCAAATCAGGTGTGTTGCTTTGTTTTTCCTCTGTGACGCAGCCTGACAGCAAACTGCCTCCTCTCCAGGATAAGCGAAGCCCGGTATAATCGCAAACAAAATGCTCTTATCACCACCCTCATTTTCTAGATGCGCTAGTTCAGTGTTCCCCAACCTTGGGCCTCCAGCTGTTTTTGGACTACAATTCCCATCATCCTTGACCACTGGTCTTGCTAGCGAGGGATGATGGGAGTTGTAGTCCAAAAACAGCTGGAGGCCCAAGGTTGGGGAACACTGACCCACTTTGCTCGGGATCATCAACGGCATCTTCACCCACCATGTGTGGGACCACACCCACCTTCTTCAGATTTTTCAAATGTTGTGGCAACTTTTAAAAAACTGAAATGAGCAGCAGTACAGCTTGCAAGTTAATTTCAGAAAGGTTAAGAAATTAAAAAAAACAAACAAGGTTATGATCTTCTCCTTAAGGGCACACAACAAACCGGCCTCGCCATCTTAAGTACTGCAAACCAAAATAAGGTGGTCAAGGTATTTGACTCTGTTTCTATTCCTAGTCCTCGGCACTGTCTTGGACCGCAAGTGCTTGGACCACGAAGTAGGGACAGCCCCACCAGAGAAAATGCCAGCAATTTTTCACCACCTTGCCAAAACACTAACACCTCCCCTTGGGTGAGGAAACAGCCCCTAAGGCAATCGCCAAAGCATGCCAAGGGAGCGGCCCAGGAGCCGGACTTCCCTGAAGGATAAAAATGCTTCACCTCACATTGCTGTGAAAGAAGCAGAGGGCATAAGCTTTGAAAACGGCTTGTTCTTTTTAACAGAAGAAAGAAGAAAATCACTATTGCAATCTTGCGCTGATGCAAAAATAATCAATAAGGCTCAGGGGGAAAAAGGGATGTGGAAATATATAATTTTGTTTGAGTGAGAGTGATGTTCTCTCCTACAGTCAATAGCACCTCCTTTCAATCTTTAGGGACACATCCCCCTGGGTGATTAAAATAGTTTCCAGTCACCCCCCCTCACCTGCCAGACGTCGGTCTCTTGTGGTCTTCCAAATAGCATCCAAGGCTCTGGTCGTGGAATTTCTGATATGATCACTGAATGATCTCCTCAGAGGAGCTCTCACTGGGTGGTGATCCATAATGCGGAGAAGAAAATGTCACGTCCACAACAGAAAAAGATACATCACCATCTTTCCAGTCAGGCCTCAGGAGAAAGGGACAGTCTCTGCTTAGCTATTTCCCGGATATTCTTTCCGTAAGGTGGGTCCATTGCTTAGGAAAGGTTTACCACCGGTCGTTCTCTCCCCCCCTTCAAGATTCAGGCATTGCAGTTCCCCTCGCTGCAGACACAGGGAAGCGCAGAGACTGCAGCAGGCAACCTACTGGCAAGCTGCCAGAGTCAGGGCTGCTGCTGCCGCTCCTGCCCGCCACATCTGGAAAGGCTTACCAATGAGCTAATGAGATGATACTCTCATTTAGATCTGGAGCTTTAGCAGGGGGAATAGCCAGAGGTCTCAGGCTTCCTGGCTGAGGGAAACAAAACATGCTGGGCTCGTCGCTTTCTCACACAAGCCCCGTTCTGAAAGGCCTTTCTGCAAAAGCTGACAGTTCAGGTGATCTTTTATTTCCAAGGGGAGGTGGGCACTAAAAGAGAACGAGATAGGAAGCGCTGGCCTTTTCCTGATTACAGCCTGTTTGTTTTGCTTCTTGTGGTCTCCCCCCCACCTCCCTCTCTCCTTTCTTTCCACATGATTTGAAACGCCTCTCACAGTCTTCCAGGCTTGGGTCCTCTTTTCTGAAGCCTCAGACTGCCTGGCAGTGCTGAGGGCCCCTGCCCAGATGTCCTTTCCATGGCACCTTCAAGATCTTTGCTCGCAGTGAGGCCATATGCAATCCCGCCTTCAACTACTGTTTGCGCCCGCAAAAGTTTAGGGGTGGCCACACTGCTTCATTTCTAATACAGTGGTATCTTGGGTTAAGAACTTAATTCATTCCGGAGGTCTGTTCTTAACCTGAAACTGTTCTTAACCTGAGGTACCACTTTAGCTAATGGGGCCTCCCACTGCCGCCGCACCGCTACTGCGTGATTTCTGTTCTCATCCTGAAGCAAAGTTCTTAACCCGAGGTACTATTTCTGGGTTAGCGGAGTCTGTAACCTGAAGCGTATGTCACGTGAAACGTCTGTAACCCAAGGTACCACTGTATTTCTATTTATTAAAGTTATATCCAGTGCTGCTTTTTTTTTTAAAAAAGGGTGGGGGAACTCACCACAAAGTTAGTTAATTACAGTGGTACCTCGGGTTACATATGCTCCAGGTTACATATGCTTCAGGTTACAGACTCAGCTAACCCAGAAATAGTACCTCGGGTTAAGAACTTTGCTTCAGGATGAGAATACAAATTGCGTGGTGGTGGCGCAGCAGCAGTGGGAGGCCCCATTAGCTAAAGTGGTGCTTCAGGTTAAGAACACTTTCAGGTTAAGAACGGACCTCCGGAACGAATTAAGTACTAAACCCAAGGTACCACTGTAGTTAGTTAGTTAGTTAGTTAGTTAGTTAGTTTATTGCAGGCTCAGTCACACTGCCACCCCCTGCCCCAGGGCAGTGGTTAAATGTAAGATGTCATGAATTAACTCAAGCAGACAATGATTACAGATATATGTGGATTTTTGGTTCAGGCATTGGGTGTATATTCATTCCAGCCCCAACCAGCCCCCCCAAATAAAATTATTTAATTTTAAAAAGGCAAGGCAACCCTCTGCTAAAAAAAAAACAAGAACACCCTGGTTATATCCATCCCTTCCTTTCTGAGGTTGGACAAAAAGACCACCAAGGTTCCTTCCAGCTCTAGAATTCTATGATTCTATTGGGATATATTTATTTCTATTGATTATATTTATATCCTCACTTTCCTCCGAGGTAGCTCAAGGTGGCATGCATACTTCTCTTTCTCCTTCTTCCCATTTTATCCTCACAGCAACGATGTGAGGAAGGCCAGGCTGAGAGGCAGGGACTGGCCAAGGTCACCCAGTGGGGATTGGAACCCTGGTCTCCCAGGTCACAGTCCAGTACTCTAACCACTACACCACACTGGTATACTAGATGCACCAAAGGTCTGCTGAAGTATAGGGTACCTTTGCTATGGTCACTATGGACTGATTTATAGATGTGGGTGTTGTAGGCTGAAATGATGGTGTGAATTTGCCTATCTGTGGAAGCCCTAGATCTAGGGTTCGTGGGGAAGATTAGTGGAGAGGGTGAGCACTCTGCATATGCTCAAAGGCTTTCCCCTCATTATTAGTTCTTCACATATCCCAGGGTCAAACTCTCCGAGGAAGCCAAGTTTCACCTATCAACCAAGGGACTGAAACAGAAAGGGCCATCTCTACTTGCAGTTGACACAAAGAATGGGCCTTATTCTGTGATAAGCATGTCGTTTAAGGGAGTGGGAAGGGAGACAGATTGGGAGGCAGAATATAAGTTCTGTGAGTGTACATATGCTCCAAATTTCCCTCCTTTGTTTAAAAATCCAATTAATTTATTTTCTTTTTCTTTTGGTGTGGAGAAACTTTAATGTGATTTGTC